AACCTCCAAAAAGTTGGAAACAGGATCAAGACCAAGTAGTGCTGGGATTCCCCATGCAATAGCGTCAAGGATTGAGGCTAAGTTGGGTTTCCAACTTTTGGGCTTCTACTGTAAGCCCCATTGCAAGGCCCGGGCCTTGGTCCAGGCAGGTTGAAGAGGTGATTGAAGAGGGTTTAGGGTTTAGGGTGTAGGGTTTAGGGTTTAGGGTTTAGGGAGCAAGAGTAAGGTGCAAGTCCAGAGCCCGATTTAGGAGGAGGGTTCAATCAAATCTGCGATCTGTATGAGCTAGGTTCAGAAGGACAAACGAGGATGACCCAAAGCCAGGAGCAAGGTTCAAACCACTGGAAGTATATCACCCTTATCAACTTAGGGATCGTCCTAGTAAGGATCCCCCTTCAGGGTCGATGTTTCTTGGTCCTTTGTTTCCGGATAGCCCCGCTGGTTCAGTACGGCTTGGCCGGGGTTTATGTTTTGTTGATTGTTTAGGCTCCGGACGGCGCTCCTCACTTGGATGGGCGCAGTAGCTATGACTTATAGAGGTCTATAGACTTGTGTTGTGCAGATTTACCGGGGATGAGAACGGTCGGAAGAGGGTGTCTATAGGTCTCCGGCGACACCAGACTCAAACGAAGCCTTCAGCGAGTTCCCACATAAGAAGAGCCGAGATGGATGTAACATCCAATTAACTTGCATAAACCCTGAAACCAAAATTTCAACACCGTGCACCCCGCAACGATGATAACTTGATAACCCCCAGAAGAGGCCACTGCCGAGCTTGAAGGGTGGGGGTTCTTTTTGGGTATGTTTTGTTGTTTGTTTTTGGATATTTTTGGTTTTCGCCTGAAGGGCTTCAAGTCAGTCAGCAAGTCAGTCGGTCAGTCGGTAGGTGCCGAGCGCCAAGCACCACTCAGTCAGTCAGTCAGTCAGTCGGTCAGTCGTCCGTCGATCCGCGAGCCCGCCGGTCCGTCAGTCAGTCAGTCCGTCGGTCGGTGCGCGAGCACGCCGGTCAGTCAGTCAGTCGGTCGGTCGTTCAGATACATGGTGAGCCGGAATCGGCAACTGAGGGCTGTGTTGTGATAAACCGGAATCTTCAAATGAGGGGGACTCTTTAACATGTATGAGGAGCCGGAATCACCAAATAAGGGGGTGGCGTGTTTAAGATACATGGTGAATCGGGATCGCCACATGAGGGGGCGTGTATAAGATATATGGCGAACCGGAGTCGCCAAGTGGGGTGTGTGTTGAACATGTAGTGAGGGGGCATGTTAACTGTTAAGATATATGTTAAGAGGGAATCGCCAAATGAGGGGGGGCCTGTTTAACATGTATGAGGAAACCGGAATCGGCAAATGGGGGGGGGGGGAGCGTAAAGGATATATGGTGAACCGGAGTCTCCACATGAGGGTGCGTGTTGAAGAGACATGATGAACCGGAATTGCCGAATGAGAGGGCGTGTTTAAGATATACGATGAGCCGCTATCGCCAAACGAGTGGGGCGTGCTTAACATGTACGATGAACCGATATCGCCAAATGAGCGGGCGTGTTTAAGATATATGATGAACAGGAAACGCTAAATGGAGGGCAAGTTTAGAATATATATATATATATATATATATAATATGTATTTGTTTGATAAACTGGAAACGCCAAATGAGGGGGCGTGTTTAAGATGTATATGGTAACCGGATTCACCAAATGAGGGGGCGTGTTTAACATAGATGATGATCCGGAACCGCCAAATGAGGGGGCGCGTTTAGGGTATATGATGAGCCGCTATCGCCAATGATGAACCGATATCGCCAAATGAGGGGGCGTGTTTAAGGTTTATGATACACCGGAATCGCCAAATGAGTGGCGTGTTTAGGATATATGATGAACCGCTATCGCCAAACGTCGGGGCATGTTTAAGAGATAGGATGAGGCGCTATCGCCAAATGAGGGGATGTGTATAACATGTAATTATGATGAACCGATATCGCCAAATGAGGGGTCGTGTGTAAGAGAGAGAGAGAGATATGTGTGTGTGTGTGTATGTATGTATGTATGTATGTATGTATATATATATATATATGTATGCATGATGAACTGTTGTCGCCAAAGGAGGGGGAGTGTTTACGATATATGAGGAGCCGGAATCGCCAAAGTTCCAGATATATGCTAAACCGAATCGTCAAACGAGAGCGTGTGTTTAAGATGTGATGAATCGCCAGTCCCCTTGGCTCTGCGTTTGCAAATGGGCTGGCCCACCGCTTTGAAAAGCCCTGTGAACGTGCTTTAGCGAACGTCGTACCGTCAAGAGCGCTATTTGGCCACTTGCGATTGGTTGTATCAAGTCAAGCAAATAACTCGTATGAGACCTTGCAAAACCCGTCCAAGGGGCCCAGCCCCGCCGCTTGATTTTTGGACCCCGCAAGCTTGTCTAAAGCACATCGCGCCAGCAAGAATGCGATTCCGTAAAGCCGAGACGACGCCCGGAGCCTGAACTGGCACGGAAGGCAACCGGGGAGACACGGGCGGGGCCGGATCGACAGATTTACAGACTGAGTGACTGACCCAGGGCCGAAGACCATCAGGCAGAAAACCATACAACTACACCAAAAACGGCCCCGTATACAGCTTGCCATTCATGTGACCCTTGCAGGTCTTGTCACTTGTATATGGATCGCGTCGAAAACCAAAAGATCCCAGAACAAAACCCCAAAATATACCAAGAGCAAACCTGGACCCGAGCTTGAAGCCTCGAGTTCGTAAATCCCGAAGTCCTGTACTCTTAAGCTCCTTCCCAACCCAAAAACCAAATCCCTGAACATGACCCTTTTCAGAGCCTTGAAACTTACGTCCTAAACCCGATACGTCCCAAACCCTGAACTTCTAAAAACATGCAAAGGCCGAAGAGGAAGCAGTGCCTTTGAAGTGGTGTTCTCAGGATGACCCGGCATAACTACGGTTTAGGGTTTAGGGTTTAGGGTAGCGGGGAACTCAGGTCTGAAAGTTTTCGCGTACACAGGGTCGCGTTGAACAGATCCTTGGTAGTTAACGATTTTCTGAGGCGGGTTATAGTTTGCTTCAATTGCGTTTGTTTATATAAGGGTTTCTTAACTAGTTAGAGGGAATCGGGAAAATAAAGGCACACTATTGCCAAGTGCTCATGGTAGTCAGGGTAGGGTTTTGCGGGGTGTATAGGGTAGTGTAGCTTTATGGTAGTGCTTTTGGTACAAAAGTGCGGCTTCATGAGGATTTATAAAGGGTACGATATTATTAAGCATTCTAAGCTCTATAGATCCCGCATGACATTTATGTAGTTTTAGAAGCAGCGGGCATGTTTCTCAACAGGGCGATTGATAACTAGGGTGTTTACTCGGAGTAGAAGATTCTACAAGTATCACGACAACGAGCTGCATTTTGAAGACGTTCTGTCAACACGTCGGCATGAGCCCTATAGGTTTCAGGGTGGCCCTGGGGCGATACTGCATATGTGTGTGTGTGTGTGCGTGCATGTGTATACCTTTACAAGTTTATTTGAAGCTTGCGCCTTGGCTTTCGCTATCTGTCGTTGCACATGTAGTCTTGTGCAGAAGCACAGCACACGCGATTGATCAAACTACCTGATTTACGTCCCAGACCTCAACCCCGAACCGTTTTCCAACGCATATTAAAACCCTATTCAGTCAACTCTGTAAGCCTTCTCCGTGAGAGAGGTTTTTTGTTGTGGTCGGACAGGACCATATTCTAGTGTAGTACTGTCATTGCTAATGCTTTTGTTAGTACTCAAACCCAGTCCTACAGCATTCACTTGCCTACTGCCCCAAGGTCACGGGCCGTCATCTTCGAATGAGTGAGCTGGTGTGCCATGGCACATACAACTCTTGCCCGAGCTGCGATGTGCGGGTGTGTAGGGGATTCCAATCTTGTTCGCTGATGGCTCGCGCGGATCGCAGTAGTAGTAGTCGTAGTCGTAGTCGTAGTCGTAGTCATAGTCGTAGTCGTAGTAGTAGTCGTCGTCGTCGTAGTAGTAGTAGTAGTAGTAGTGGCGGTGGTGGTGGTCGCAGAAACAACAAGAATAGACGAATCGAAGAGAGTTAAAAGGCGGCCTCACCTTCGGACCGTCGAAGTTCGAAGGTCCTGTCCTTTCGATGCGGATCTGACGGTGCGCTTGCCATCCTGGGGGCCCGGGCCTATGGGGTGCCCTCTCGTCGTGTTATGGAAGACTGTGCTGACTCAGAGTTTTCTTCCGAGGATCCAGCTGTGCTTTGATGCTTACCAGCAGGAGTGTTTGCGCTTGCCGGGAGCTGTCCTCCTCCCTAATCCGCGACGTCGAGCTTTCCAGGACCTCCGGGTCATCGCTGTGCGCCTTCAGGCCAGACCCGGCGGAGCATTTCTCTCTTTGCCGTCGCTTTTCCTCTTCCTCTCCTCAGGGCAAAAGCGGGAGGCCGGGGCTCCTGGGAGCCGGCCCGGAAGCTGCGGAGGCGCCGGAGGCGCCAAGGGCCAGTTTGCGAGAGCTCTGAGACGACAGCTGAGCCCAAACAAGGGGAGCTTGCTTCCCAGCCTGGTCTACGGCGGGCGCGAGTTTGCGGCCGCAGGGATGGCACCAAGCCTCCGCGAGGTCAGAGACCGAGAGAGAGATTGAAAGATGGTCTGACGCTTCTTTTGACCAGGTCTACCAGATGTTCGGCCCCACGTGGTGCCCGGCCTGAGGATCAGAGCTCCGTGCCTAGGGACTAGAGATTTTCGGCTGTGATAAGGATCGGTGACTTCAGACAGGAGCCTGAACCCCTCTACCTGCAGGGGCCTGAAGAGATCCGAAGTCTCGCCACAGCTGATACTCTAAACCCAGCTAAGGCTTCAGTATCCCGGACTGGCCTTTGAATTTCCACTGCCCCAGGACTCAAGTCGAAGCCTTCTCTGCAGTTCTTCCATTCGCGAAGCTCCTCCCAGGATCTCTTCGAAGCTTTGGCAGCCTTGAGCTTGGCCACTGCAGAGTGGTTTGGGAGTTTGCAGAGCCCAGCTCCACGCAAGACCCGGCAACCTCTCCCGAACCTCATCCCCTGCTGATGTCAGGCAGCTCAGACAACGAGAGCTCTTTGTAGCCATTTGGTTGTCGAGATGTGAGTAACAATGGGTCATGATAGGTCGTCTCCGACCTTGTAGTCAGGACATGTCAGGACAACCGTAAATCCACGAACTCACTCGTCACACAAAAGAGCATGCGATGGCAATCGTATGACCTGGCTTGACAGCTTAGGCAAACATCTGCAACACCAGTCAGTCAGTACTTCTAGCATCAACTGTTCGGTTTATGAGAGTCTGTCCTGTAAATCCTCTATGCCTTGCCATGCCTGCTCGCCAGCAGTTGTGCCATGTGGTGGAGCTACTGCAGTGCGCATTGCTACCCTGCCTCAGCAGCGGCTTGGACTGATGGCGGAGTCGGGCCCCTGCCTTTCCTTTCGCATGCGCGAGGCCGATCTCTCGCGGCGATTGAGGGCATCTGCAAGGAGCTGCGCAAGACCATCGTCGCAGGCATGTGCGGACAGTTCATAGGACAGAAGTTGAAGGGCGCCGTCGGTGCTGTGTCAGGTGAGCTATGGGCCCGATGCTTTAGCTTAGCGTTGCCCGACTTCGCCCGACGCTCAAGCTTGCTATCAAGTGCAGCAAAGCGCGAAGCAGCAGAATGCAGCAGAAGCAGACAGAGGAGCTTTCTCCGACTTGCCTCACAGTCCTGAACTGCGAAGGCCGGGCCTTCCGGTTGCCGGGTTCTGTTATGGAAGTAAGATATGATGGATGTAGAGTGATTGTGATCGTGTCCCACAATCTGCCCAGTTGCTTGCCCTGTCGTCCCTCGGTGAATCCTGAGTGGCTTTGTGTATAGCTTTAGCAGTATCTGACACCTGAGCTGGGAAGTCTCCATTATGTAAGGAGATGGCCGCGGCCGCGGCGAGCTCAAGCATATCCTCGGTACTCTTGCAGCAGTGCCTCGGGCCGAAATCTCCACAACCATGTTTTGTTTATCGCTGGCGTTGCTGCATGGCCTGCAGCGCGAGCTGCTTTTGCAAATGGTGCGGGCTGGGGTCCGAGGTGAGGAACCATGCGGTCATCGACTTGAAAGGTGTTCGACTGCCCCTTCCAAACCCGGCCATGGCAAAGCAGCTCTTGTCCAAGGCCAGGGCTGTTTGCCTTCGACATGGCGGTCACATGTGCATGCTGGTGCTCTCGCTTCTCTCAGACGACATGCGGATGCATGCACGAACCTCCGACTTCTGGTTGCAGGTTGAAATGGCCAGAATCAAAGCCTCGAAGCAAATGGAAGAAGCAGGACGCCAAACCAGAAGCCGTTGCAGTTCTAGCTCTGGTCCTGGTTTAGAGGCGTTCTCGTGTTTCAGAGTCTGCATCAGTGCCTTCATGTTTCAGTTCTGGAACGATCTGCTGGTCACTGTGGTGCCTTTGTATGTGGAATCAACATGGGCGGTCTTCCTGTCCCTCACAACTGTTTCCTTGTGTTCACGGTCAGACTCAAGGCTTACCGTGAAGTTCATGTCAGTGGATCCAGTACGTGTACGATTTACTACCAGACTACTTCACTTCTTGTTGCTGTTGGATGGGCAACGTGGAAGGTCCCTGCACAGGTTGCCCGTCTGGCAATCTTGCTGGTGATGTTGATACTTCGACGTCCACTTGCCCTCTTTGGTCTTCCGTTATGCATTGGGTATCCAGTACGTACCTTCCGAAATATGAAATGTGCCACGCTTGTTCATCGCTGGCCCCCTCCACAACAAGCATCTTCTGTTTCTCGTGCAGGAGTTCCTGGACGGGTTTTGATGCGGCATGTCTGTCCATGGCTTAGAGAGCTACAGACGCATCCATACACCCAAATCCTTAGAGCCCCAAGCCCGAAAAACACGGGTGTCGGAGCAGCACCCGAGGCTTCCGTCAGGAGGCCCAGGTGCCTGCCCCATATCGTGGCCTTGACGTCATTTGCCGTGCGAGTGTCCGGATCCTACACGATCTTTTTTCTGCGAACTCGTCTTTCGACACTTTCTCTCTGAGCGCCAGGAACCTATACTTTTTGACTTGGAGAAGCCGGATGGTCAGATCCAGTCGCCCCTGCCCTATGTCACTGATCTGCTTCCTGCTTTCCTGTAATGTCGGTGTTGCAGCATGCAAGCATACGCTTTCATTCGAAGGATGGCTCTCCAGCTGAAGTGGGTGGAGAACGAGGCAACATGTTGCTTGGAATGGCCGCGCCTGGGACCTTTTCTTCCTGCCAGGTGCGCCTACGCGTGATGCTGGTGCAGAACGGCATGTGGACACGACTGCACAAGCTGCTGCAGGGACATGTCGTGCCTGCGTTCGGCAAGTTGACCATCGCATTCGTGCATCGCTGCTCAGGTGGCCTTTCCCTGTGGCTTGCTTGCAGTGCATTTTCTTGACAAGAGGTGCGAATGCGGGTCCGTGGTAGATGACTGCCTGCACCTAGGTTGCTGAGTCAGAAGCCAGAACCCTGGCCGTGGACGTTGTAGCTACGAGCAAAATGCCATTGCTTGCGACGAGGGGAACACAGGTCGGGCACCAGCTTTAGAGCCTCAGATTGCATGACTGTAACTCCCATTCAGCAGGTGAAGCTCGGGGCTGGTTGGTATCCAGCCCGGAGCTGATCGAGTGTTGTGCCTGTCCTGTTTCTCGTCCTTGCCACGCAGACGTTGCTTGCATCCTCAGACCCGCACTAAGACCAGCGGCATCACCGCAGCGATGATGCCGACATCAGATCTGTTTCGGCTCCTGGCAACCGATGGCCTTACCTGCGTCATCGCCGTCTGTGACTACGTCGAGAGACTCTCGGACTCGAACAGCACCTTCGTTGATGCTCGAAGTCTTCTTTCGTGCTTCAAGCTCCTGCCGCATCTGCTGTTGTCCGAGGTCATGCAGTGAATGCGGGCCTCAGTTGCGTGCTCAGGTGTTGAAACACGGTTGAACTGATTTCGTCATGTCCTGATGCTTGTACAGCCGCCAACTGCAGGCTACGTGAACTGTCTCTCTTTGCAGTTTCCCTGATGCTTGGAGAGAACGAGCCATCACGAGGTTGTCGAAGAACGTCCCATATCACATCCGAAGTCAGCCATCGGTTTGTTTTTGAGCATTCATGTCCTTCACCTTCGAGCTTGGCGACTCGTGATATCAGGAAACAGACGCATGATGTCATAATTCACCTAGAGAAGAACATCTTTGGCGCAAAATCCTGCCCAATACCGCAGCATCGATTGCGAGACTTGTTGGGGAAGCTAGACACGAAATTCCGTTTGCAATTCTTGATTTCATCTCCGTATGCGATGGACACAGTACCCGCGAGTCTTTGCAACTGCAGAGCTCGACAAGGTCCACTTGCAGGGTTCCTGCTACGTGCTAGCCATCTAAATCTATTGCGGACGTGCGACCTCACTCTGGAGCATCCCGCCAAGTGGACCTTTCATGGCCAACGTTGCCATGTCAAGGCTCGTAGAGATCGAGGTGCCTTGCGCAGGGAGGACTGCACCATTTAACTGAACGGCATGCGGCATGCATGTAATAGGGTCAGGCCTGGAAGTCTGAAGGGTGCAAACCGGTGCAGGGCACCGCCAGGGATAACAGTGAGCATTGCTGCTCCTTTCCATAAGGCAGGGGACATGGCTGGAACCGCCGGCGAGCTACTAGTGGTAAACTGGAGGTTGCATACCTGGAGAACACACTCGCACAGCGCTGATCAGTCGCTCAACATGTCTCAGCCCGAAGGCCATGTCGAAGGCCATGTCAATCAGGGATTCTCTGACAGCCTGCCGATGAAAGATCATCGGAGGCACTGTGGGAAGTGCATCTGCTGTGCAGCAGCCAAAGTGCTGCCAGCTTGTTCAAGTTCCCATTGTGATGGAGTTCGATACCTTTGCAGGGTGTGCCATCGTGTCGATTCAACAAGCAATCATTCAACTGATTGTGCCTTCCCTTGTCGGACTTGGGCGTGGCAGGCCACTGATTCTAGTTTGGGAATGTTTCATTTGGTGACAAGCCGGCGGCGTCGCACAACTAAGTGCAGTCCGTTGTTTTCTCTTCAGGCCGTTCGGTTTGTGCTTCTACGAATTGAAGCTGCGAGCAAGCACATCACCCCGAACGGGGTGATCTAGTACCGCTTGCTTAATTCGATTTTCTGATGTCTCTGAGTCATGGCGCTGCGAACCTCGGAGAAGGTGGTAATCTGCATACTCCTGGTCCTAGTCCTAGTCCTAGTATCTCCTAGTAGCCATGGTATCTTTGTGCTTGGATTCGCCTTGCTGTCGCAGCAGAGCGTCATCATGAATTCACCGTCCAGAGAGAGGAAGCCCGGGGTGACTTTTTAAAGTTGAATGACGGCGCCGCTTGGACAAGCTTTTGAACTGAGCCTTCTGTTTATGCACACGGCCAAAGACAACCTCGACAGCGCAAGCAGCGCAAAATTGTCGCGTGCTCACAGACACAGCTCGTCTGCAAGGGACCCTTGGATAGCAAGATCTCGCAATGCAAGAAGACACGGTGCCATTTTTGGGTTCTGTCTCTTCGAGGCGAAAGGGGAGCATCCCATGGACCTGGAAGGAAGGCACGACACCCTTTTGCAGAGTTCCATACTCCAAACAAGCGGGCTAATTTACCTTTTCAAGACGGTGAAAGGGCGCCGCTCGCAGCATCCCGACTCTGGGTCTTTGCCGCCGCCTCAGTAGGGGATGCCGCGACGGTGAAGGAAAGTTGGTTTGCTGGAGGCCTCAGACGCCTCCTTTGAGACACCCATCTCCGTGGTTCCAGATCTGGTCGAGGTGTTTTTTGCAGAGCCGTGCAGAGCCGCAGGGCCCTTGCTGCGCCATGCTGCGCCCTTGCAGGCTGTCTCTGTCCATCCCGGCCTGGGGGTGAAGATGTCGGGGAAGAGGCTGCGCTTTGGGGCGATGCCACAGGCCCACTTCAACTTCGCTGCTTCCCGATCACATCCTCGCATCGGTCTGGCGGTGAGGACGTCTTTTCAGACTTCGGCCCACCGCAGCAGGCGGTCTCGTTCTGCACCTTTCTGAATCATTCTGATCCCCAAACCTGGAAGGTTTGTGTGAAGGATATGATCCAGAGTGCTTCTCAGTTTTGTCAAGGCTGCTAGGCCTCGGCGAGGTACTGTCCCCTCGCCTCCCAGGCCACCTCTGGACGCCTTCCGTATCCACTCCCGCACGCCGCCGGCGACTTGCAGCCGCAATCGGGCAGAGCAGCCTGGCATCACATGTGACTGCACTGCGAGGCTGAGACCGGCGAGCTTGGACTACTACTACAACTACTTCTACCTCGGTCCGGGTTCCCAGAGTCTGCCTTAGTTGCAGCTTAAGAAAGACGGATGCAGGAATGGATGTGCTCTTCGACGGGTGCCGACCTGGGAAACGCTCGCAGCCTGGCTTCCTTGCTGATGCCGCATCAGGCAGACCCATCTGGTGCAGAAGATCGTGCTCCACACGTCGGGGACCCGACATTGAGCTTCGGCGGCCCTCTTTTGCGCCCGAGATCTGCAGATCTGCCAGGAATCCACCAACCCATGAGCGTTTCTCTCGGTATACGATCCTCGGATGAATGGGTCGAAGAGGTTCTGCGCCAGCATGCCTTGAGCCCTCCGAGGCGGTGTTTCTTCCAGTTGCAGATCGAGGATCCCCAGGGCCCCAGGGCCCCAGGGCCCTTGCCCAGTGCAAACCTGAAAGTTCCCGAGGCTCGTTTTTCTCGCTGCCGCAGGGCTTGAAATGGCCCAAAATGAGCCATGGCAGAGTCAAGACGCGCAAAGTTCGTGGAGCGACAACGTGAGTTTCACCGTGGTTCCAGTTTTTTGGCCAAGGCGCCTTGGTCGGTGGATGATGTTTGAGTCTCTTTGATTCCCCTCTCATTCTGGAAACTGCCCGAGGCACAGGCACATGAAAGCCACCATCGGCATCACGAGGATGATAAGAAGGGGATTGGAAAGACGATGACGGTGCTGTTCACAATGTTTCTGATCTGCAGGGGCAGAAGACATCACCATGTTGAAAAGTAGGCGATTTTTTTGGTGAACCTGACCGAGGTTCGGCATGAGCCTCTTGACTGACTTGCAGAGGCGCCCTTTGCTTGAAAGTTTTTGCATACGAAGTGAGGCAGCTGGTGGGTTGGCAACGCAATCTTTGCTCAGCTCCCGCTGCTGGTCTCTCGCCTGCCGGAGTCCGACGCCCTCGGCACGCAGCTATCGATGATGGTGCAAGCAGGCCGGGGCAGGTCGGAGTTGCGCTCGAATCGCCCTGCTTGCGCTGACACAGAGCAGTCTGAGGTAACATCTTCTCCATCAGCTACAAGATCATTGAGCATCACGTGGGGCCATTGGATGCAGCTCGCAAAGACTCTTGAGTTTTGTGCTCTTCCTGGCTCCTGGCTTTGAAGTTGCTTCACTGTGCTTCACTATAAGGCAAACCTTGTCGTCAACGGCATGCACCAAGCATCCCTCCTTCTTTTGATGTTCCTGGCTCTTTTCTGGGAGCCACGGCGGCACATCCGCAAGTCCTCTATCCACAGCTTCTGCACACCAGCTTGGGGTCCAAGGACTCGCAGCTGATGGGTCGGAGCCTGCCTTTGCTGGGCTTTTCGATTCTTGCCGGTGGCCTCGGCTGCCTGTCGGACCTGACCTACTGGCATCCGGGCAGCAGTAGGAAGATGGGATGCGAAGATGGCCTTGGTCGGCGTCGGCCCTCCGTTGCTTTGGGCATTCAGTTAGGTCGCTGGTGATGCGGCATCCTCCACCGTGTACCAAAGCTGTCGGTGTAGGACCGGCCGGTGCGACATACTCGTAGCGCTTCACTGCTTCACTCAGAACTTTTGCCTGCTTTTGCCAGGCATGTCTCTTGGCAACTTCGTGGTTCTGGGCTTGTCCACCGTTCAGGCGGGAGCACGGCAAAACCCGCATGAGCCTGGTGCCGGAAATGCAAGCCCGCCACAGTTGTGCCTAACCGCTTTCGACAGGTGACGGGACGCAGTGTGGACAACCCCCGCTTTGGCGTGACGAACTTCTTTGTGTCGGCAGCACTGTTTCAGCGACCAGGTTGCACTATGTGTTGGCTCATTGTGGACAGTTATTGTGCGCCAAATGTGCACGTTGCCAGTGTTTCATCGGATTTCGAGGATGCTTTGGGGTATCGTGACGCTCATCGTCCAGGAGCGATGTAATCATACACTTAGACTGGACCTAAAGCCCATAGACCGCAAGCCTTGAACCATAACAGCCCCCTCGAAGTTTGGCAGGACAAGCTTGGCCCTGCAGTGGTCTGGGCCGCGGGATTCGTTTCGGAAAGCTTCGGGAAGCGCCTCCTGAACTTGATCAATCCCATGCACGAGAGGCTCAGCAAATCTGGTAAAAGGATGGGTATTTTTTAAAATGATCTTCAAAAACAGCAAGACAGTACATGGAATATGTGCCAGCATGGACCCCACCTGGCAGACGTAGCAGGCCAAAGCCAACACATCCAACTCCCAAGACCATCCCATGAGTCCAGATCTGCACCATACTGGCACGAGCACGGTTGGACCGCCAAAATGCTTAGGGCCTTGGAGGGAGGAGGGAAGAACCCGAGTCGCAGCCCGAAAATGACTCATGCTGTGGTGGGAGCACGATCTCGGGATTCGGACACTGGCAGGCAAAAACCGCGCAACGTGAAATATGCATGGCGCCGCGGCGGCACAATTTCAAATTTGGCCAACGTCCATTTGCAGACCACCGCAGCGAGTCCACAGCAGCGTGGCCCTTCTGGGACTTTTTGACGATTCGAGCGCTTCCAAGGCACAAATGAGCAGGGGACGGTGGTGCAAGCATGCTTTCCAACCAAAACACAGCAAAGGGCGCTGTGGCAGTGGTGAGATGCCTCCAGTTGGACAGCAGCAAGGCAATGGATTTTGCCCTAAATTTGGCGTCCGGAGGATGCGTCCGAGCAAGACTTTGGAAGTATCGAAAACGCGCATCACTGCACAGCAGCTACGAATTCGCCGGACATGCCTCTCGCACAACAAGCAGGTCCTTCGCAGTCCTGCAGTATTGCCATACTGCTTGCGGAACAGACGTAGCATGTATACAGTATACGTTGTATTCTTATGTAGGAAAACCACCAAAGGTATGGATGTACATACCTGTCTTGTCTTCCAATCACTAAGGAAGGCGGTCGCCTTGCTGCGCGCTGAGCAGGAGGAGGAGGCCCAGGCCCAGCCTGCGGCCGCCGTGACGGACCACCCGGGGCCAAAGTCCTCGGGGCTGCCGCGGAAGAAGAAGCGGCTCGGATTGGTTTTGGTTTTGGGAGTTTGAAGGACCCCGGACGAGTGACAAAAAGCCTTTTGATGTGTTTTCGCGGCTTAGGAATCAGAATGTTGCGAGCTGTGCTAAGGATTCTGCTCTTTGAAGCGGTTCCTTGGTCTCTGATCGGTTTGATTCAGGTTGCTCCTCGACTGTCCCCTCAGCTGAAGCAACAGAATAAAGGATGAATGCGTCGGCCTGAGGTCAACTTCTGTACATATGCCACAACTTACACCTTGCCTTGCATTTTGCCTTTCGTCGCGGCGGCTTTTCCTGAGACTGGGCGAACGAAATAAGCAGAGTCGAAGCAATGCATGTTCCGTTCTGCATTTTGCTCATGTGGTGTACTTCGCCATGGCCGCAGGAGAGAAGTCAGCAATGCCATCTGCTCCTGAACATGATGATCTTTCAATCCATTGGAGACGTCAGCGGTCGAATGCTAGCTCCCACGTCCAAGCAACTTGGACAAGTCTAGCAGTGGCTGTAAGCATCTGATCGCACAACATTAGCTCCGCCACCAGGAGTGGATCCTTGCAAAAAAAGCTGCCGCTGGTTGGCGGTGTGGTGCTTCCTCTCTGCTTCAGCATTCTCATAGCTTCTGCAGTGGAAGCTTCGCTCCGTTGTACAATGGTCTTGCGGTACAACCTGCTTGAAAGCTGTCATTTCTGTCATGAGACTGTCATGGATGCGAACATGTTGTAGCATGTCCACTTCCGAGGACACTTCCATTATCTCCGATGTGCTGTCCTACGAGCAGGTCCCGAAAGAGTGATCCAACCTGCTACAGCATGATGCCGGCCGTCATTGCAACAGCAAAGAGCAGTAGCCGCAGATGCATGCTGAGTCCGCACTTACCAGGCAGCATTGGTTCTCCCGCTGATAGTCATGTGCTTCTTCTTCTCCCGCGGCATGCTTGTCTCTGCCGTCTTCCTTCGAGCGAGAGGCAAGTTTCGAGCAAGCTTAGAAGACCTCAGTTGAAAGAGAAACCTGGATGCAGTTTTTGCTACAGGCCTCACCAGTAGCCGCGAGGCGGCGGAGCACTTAGCCTCGACCATGGGCTTCTGTGGCCAGATGGGCGCACTGTCTGCCAACGTGGCCGCCCAAGTGGAAGCGGGTGTTTGAAGGGGCCGTTTGTTCTTCTGGCACTGCCAAGTTGCACAGCAGGGGCGAAGCTTCAAAATCTTGGGCCTTGCATGCTTGAGGTCATCACGTTCGCAATTGTCAACTATTTCCACTGAGATGCGACGGCGTTAATGCACCAGCAGCAGTCCAGTCGGGATTTGCCTGGTTCATGCACGACTAGGGTGTGTGGAAGACCACGGCCACCCATGATTGCTTGCATTGTTTCCTGGGAAAAGAGCAAAGAGCAGCTTCTTGAGTGGTTCGGGCTCGGAGCTCTGACGGAAACCTCTCTGGGCTGTGCAGGTGATGGTTGAGCCGTGCAGAAGACAATTTTCTAGCGATAGGTTTCGGAAGAGGCATCAAAAACAAGGAGTAACGAAGTGCATTGAGAAGTATTGAACCTTGGAATGGGCTTAAGGCTTAAGGCAGCAAGAGCGAAGGGGTGCCTTCGATTGCAGAATCTCAGCCGCAGGAGTCTCCACTGCAGCTCGTTGGAGTGGAAGGCCAGCCTCGACAGCCTCGGTCTCCGAAGTGTCGGGAAATCACAGTATGTATATATAAATATATAAATATATATATATATAGTACATAATATATATATATATATTATGTACTAACTATATATAGTAATATTATATATATATACAATATATAATATATAATATATATAACATATATAATATATATTATATATATTATATATATTATATATATTATATATATTATATATATATATATATATTATACTATACATACATATATATATATATGCAGGGACAGCGATGAGCTCCGATGATCAAGAGCTGGAAGGTAAGTCTGAGACCCGGGGCCCTTGTCGCAGGATGTCATTGCTGTCGGTTGTGCGTGAAAGCGTAAAGGAGTGCATTGTACCAAGGCCAAGCTTTGCAGGCGTCTGTATCGATGCTAGGGCCCCGGCGTTAACTCATGATGACTTTAGATTTAAAGAGTAGAGGTTCGTAGTTTTCACTGACAGGTCCGATGGCTGTGGCCTGACATCGAAGAGGCCGAGCCGTCCCTTCATTTCGCGGCTGTTGCACTTTCACAGTGCGACACAGGCCTTGCAAAACGCGGGCTTCTCGAAGTCACGACCACTCGTCATGCGATGGCCTCGGCTGTCATCGCGTCGGATGGCCGATGAGCAGAGCCTGAGGAACCAAAGTGACGACAGCCACACATCTTTCGGCAGCAGATACTTCTACGCATTTCCTGGACTCATCTTCGAGGTGGGATGGTGGTGGGGGTTGGTCGGGGTTGGGAAATCTTTCTCCAGTCAAGAGCCTTGCCCTAGCAAAGGTGATGCAGAATGGGTACCTGGCCTCATTGACAATGTTTCAGGCTGTGCAGATTCTCTCTCTGCCGCACAAGACTTGACAACGTCGCCTCGTGGTTCAGGTTCCCACGTCCGAGCTTCCGTCAATGTTCCATGGCTGGTCCGATGGCAGCATGAAGGAACGGCGTCGCGTGTGCCTTTGCAAGCAGCACCAGTCCTAAACAGCCGAGGTCCTAAGACGTTCTGGCAGCGCCCGAGCTGGATGTCGTGGCATTGCAAAACAGATGCAGCGCTCCGCTTGATAATGATCCCAGGCCACCCAGGCCCTCAGATTCTTAGATTGTGGCACAAAGGCTGCCCAAGTCCACTCCTACCTCTAAAGATGCCAAAGGTGCAGAAGCAGCAGCATGTTTAGAGAGAAAAAGCTTGCTGGTCGAACGGGGGGCCGGGGCGCTGAGCATCCTTGGTTCGGGTTTTCCCGAAGCTCCTAAACCCTTATGTAGGCCCTGAGGCCCAAAAACAGAGCTGTCTTGGCCCTCAAGGGGCCCTTCGCCCAGCCGCCATGGCCGCCTTGGCAGTGCTTGAGCCGAGCTGGCGGGGTTTCCGCACCTTCGAAGCGCCACCGCCCGGCTGCGTGCTCTGGCTAAGCCGATGCTAAGCCCTTTTTCTGTTACTGTACTGTGCCCAAGCTGTCCAGTTGCGTTGGGAAGACAGTCTACGAAACGCTTGAGCTTTTCGGCGTCTCAACTGAGCACCATGGCTGCGACGAGCGTTTACGGCTGAGGCATGCAAGAAACACAAGCGTAACGAAACAGAGACCAGGCCCACGCCCACGCGTAACTTCCTGCCTGATGTCGTGCTCTTGCCCTGCGCGGAACGACGGTTTGATGGTGGCAGAACAGGAGGCCTGGTGATGATGATGATGGTGCTGATGATAACGCTGATGCTTATGCTAGAGAGGGTTTTGGGGCGGGGCGTGCGGTGGTGGTCGTGGTGGTTTTCGCTGTGGCGGGTGTTAAGACTATTCCTGACACTGCTGTTGGGTCTTCCGCCAGCCGGCCCCTTTACGTTGGCCTCTTCTTCGACAAAGGACAGAGCGAGAGGTGAAGTGGCCCATGATTTACTAGTGTCAACGGTTGTTCTCTTGTCTTCATGTTGGAGTGGCAGATGCCAAGAGAGGCAGGGACAGAGACAGATAAACCGCGTATGTGATCGAGCCTTTGACTTTCCATCGAGTTCCATGGTCCGTGACGATATGTTGCAGGTGTGGGTGTTCTTGAAAGCATAGCATTAGTGGGCCTCTGGGACTGGCAAGGTTGGCTGGGGCCGCGAAGATGAAGAAGCTGAAGAACAGCGTCGGCCTTCTTTGCTGGACTCTCGCTGGTGCAGTGTTCAGTGCCCAACAGAGTTCCGCGCAAAGAACATTGTGTAAACCCGAAACAGAGAGCCCGACTGCTTGCATACTTTTCGAGCGATGGGACATCTTCACGAATTCGACGGTCAGGCACTGCATGTCTCGCGTTGCTGTCGCTCAAGTCTGATCTGAGACTCGGGAGGACCTCCCATCGCCAAGACAAGCGAAGGAGGCAAGAGAGGACAGCGATGCCTACGGTTCTAAGAAGCAGAGGTACATCATCTCATAATTGTTGCATGAGAACGATGCAAGGATCCCGGGAACAACCTGGGGCCTCTGCAGAATGCTGAGCACTTGCACGAAGCCGAAAAGGCTGCTTCACGGGTCAACGTGAAGACAAAGCATGCAGGTTTGCGCTGCTTTTCTTGAAAGGCTGATCTGGAAGCCCTCGCCGAGCGCGATCCGGCTCTCAAGGAGATTTTGGAGCATCTCGTCGCAGGGTGCTATTTCCTTGTGTGCGGCGAAGACTCGACGAAGATAGAGCGCATCGCAATGCATCGCCAGCCTGGTGTTGAATCCATCTTGAGGCAGGATGCGGCTATCGGCCAGGATGCCGCAGCAGATGCCGCTTTTGAGCTCTACAGGCGGGGCCCGGCCCGGCTTTTTTTTCTCCTTTGAAGAGGATTCTTCTTCACGTGAAGGCAAAGCCTGATTGCCCTGGATGCCGGACAGATGCTGACGCAAAAGGCCTTCAAATGTGTGGCAAGAGACAATGCCGAGGACGCGATGGAAATCCGGCCGGTGTTGCAGGTTGCCGGTTGCGGCTTATTGGCAGGACTTGCGCCGCCTCTTTGAAACCACGAGCCTGCGCTGGGATGCCGAGAACGCCGGCGGACAGACGTTGATAGAAGTGGCTTTGGAGAGGCAGCCACTTGACTTTCCTACGAGGGGTGACCTGCCGGGGCTGTCTGAATGTCGGGAGCAATTTGTCATTTGTCATGATGAGGAAAGCCCGAGTGCAAGTAGTACCTTGGAGTGCACCTACCAGGGGCCTGCTCCCTTCAACTCTGTGCTGCCGCTGCGTTGTTGAGGTCATCAAGGAGATGCGCAGGAAGCAGGAAAATGAGGAGAGCGGGACGGCCGCCGGTGATCAAGACCCGACTGATTCCAGCACAGCGCTCAGACGAGACTGCAGTCCTTCTCAGTCTCTGGATGTTCTGTTGGCCTTTACGCTTGCCGCCTTGTGGTAGGCTTGCCCAAAGCCACCGATGCGAAGTCGGAGGAAGTGACAGAACCTGGTAGAGGTGCACAAGAGCCGACGCCGGCGGACTGACAGATCGTCAAATTAAAAAACTAGGCATGGGTCACGATGGCCATCAGCATTGTAGCTGGTAGACGTTGTTGGTTGGCATGAAGGCCGATGTTCGTTAGAATCATGAGGCTTGTGCACTCTGATTCGGAGTATACTCTTCAATTGGCCGCGCCAATGACCTCTGCCGCTGTCTAGCTGTGATGTGAGCCCAGCAAGATAGCAGACGCAGCTCGACTCGGCAAGCTAAGTGCGTAAGTCGCTACAAAGCAGGCTAACGTGCTCAACCACCAGACAACACTCGTCACTTCGAGCCCATGTGCTTGTGAACTTTCAAGACTCAGAGCTGGAGAGCCATGGCAGCTGCAGCCGGCAAGCGAGCTTATGCTGGCGGTGGACCAAGGAGAGATGCTTTAGGCTGCAGTTTGCTTCGGGCAATGTTTGTGGCTTCGCCCATTCCATTCCAGGATCGGCGAGAAGGGAAAGTTTGAGGGCGAGTCGTGCGCTCAGGGGCTTGCGCTGCTGTGTGCAGACAGCTGCAGAACATTGACATGAGATGCAGCACCCTGACATGCGAAGCCGAAAGCCCTGATAGCTTCATTTCAGGTTCAAAGTTCAGAAGCAGGCTCCCTATATCAAGCACCGCCTTGACGATCGGGCCTGAGTTCTGCTTGGGCGTTCTGAACCCTGCTCGGCCTCCCTCCTGCATCGCGCAGCAGGACCATAAGCTGAGTCTGCTATGTGTTTTAGATGCTGCCCAGACTCTAGACTCTCTAGGACTCTCTAGGACTCTAGGCTGCACATGCACAGTCTTCCAAGGTCTGGGAGAAGCTGTACAAGAAGTACACGGACGGTCTAGCGTCCAAGCCGCAAAAGAAGATCGAGGCGTGCCGCACCGGACACAGCAGTGTCCTGTAGGGAAATGTCGGGCACCGCGTTTTGCTAGTCAACGGCTTAGAGGAAAGCGGTGCTGAGAATGAATAAACGGTCTTGAAAGATCATTAGACAGGATTACACCGCCAAGTCTTTCCCGGTTAAAGCCTTTGTCCTTCTTGAGATGACGTTTGGGTGTTTCACCGTGTGCGAAACTTGCAGATCGAGCTACCGGATGGCACGAAGAAGAATGGCGAGGCCCGGAAGCGGAGCTTGTAACAGTCTCTGACCCACACTTGGCAGCCCAGGCCTTCAAGACGAGCCCCATGGAAATTGCGTCGGGGCCTACAGAGAAGCCACGGCCAACACTTCGCATGGATGTCAGTGTCCTTCCTACCCTGCTTTGCTCAAGCCAGAAGCAGCTCGACGCTGCAAGAGCTTGGTCAGCTAGGTAAGCCGACTACGCAGAAGACAGCCCGAAAGGTGACATGTGTTCGCTCAACTCTGTGAGAGCTTTTGTGCACATCCGTCATGGACAAAAGCCATGAAGATATTAAGCAACAAGACCATACTGCCCAACCCAAAGACAGCTTGACATGTTGAAGTTTTGTCTTCCGCTATTTCTCTCTCGAAAGCACCCACCTCAAACATCGTTTCTTCTCGCAGACTCCTTTGTCATGAAATCATGTCGGGGAAGCCACCAAAACGCGGCTACACCTTGATTCGCGTCTCAGTGCAGGCACGGGATCAAAGACCGTGTGTGACGCAGCTGGTCTTACTACTTGAATGTCCGCAGGGATGCCTCAACTTTCCCTCACGCTCCTTGAAGAAGTCGGCCAGGAAAAACATCTCAGTGAAGGCCGCGGCCGTTCTTCTCAAGAGTGGGGGTAGGCTTATGCCTTATGCGTGCTTTGTGGGGCTGTGCCGGGTTGTCTTTTGTCGAGGTGGCAGAGCTGCCACCAGACTCGGTCTTCGATCCTGAGCTGCCGATTCCTGCCATCTTCGAGTTGCGCAGACATCCGTTTAATGCTGTCGCGTTTCAAGAGTACTCAAGTTTGCAGCGGGACAGCGGCTCATGCGGCTGAGGTTCCGGAATGGTGAGCTATCGGACTCACGGCTTGCGGATGGGAGCAGAGTCTGAACATGTCGGAACCTTTCGCGTCGACATCCCAGGAAGGCGAGCATCTGTCCTTCGACCCGCCGCGTTTCTTTCAGACGGACCTGGAGTCGCACAGGTTCCGGGGAAACCCGGCCTCACAGCTTCTCTGTTTCCAGCTCGCTGCAGTTCCTGGAATTTGGACTTCAATGTTTGCGACGGCTACGGCAACATCGTCGGATGTGCCAAGATCGGGGTTGGCGATCTCGCAAGTGCTCCAGCTGCATCACGTTTTTTTGGATGGGTCTAGAAGGAGCTAGCAAGCATCCGCGTGTACAGCCGGCGATGTTGTTGCCAGTCTGTTTGGTAATGAGGAAAGCCCGCATGGCGGCTACTTCTGCAAGATCCCACTGCGTGTAACCCCTTATATGTGCCACACCCAGCTGCATCTTGTTGTGATGTGAAAGGAGTTGCCTGCCAGCAGCATTGGAACTAAGACATCGGACGTCACGCACAGCCGCGAGTACCGGCGCATCACGCGCCGTGGCGAGGCAGATTTGCCAAGCCGTCTAAAAGTGCGTAGTCCACGGCCGACGGAGCCTGCCAAACTGTCTGCAGACGGTGCGCCGTCCGACTTTCCTGCTTTTGGCGGTGGAGATCGTCGGCGGCGTGCAGGAGGAGGAGCCTGAGCCATGAGCCAAGATTGAATAAGAACCACACAGAGCGAAACGCGAGGAGATCCAAGTGCGGCGCTCGTCCTCCTGGCAGCGGGACCTGCCCGCCTCCGGCGCCGTCAGGCCGAGGCCCGGCCCGGAGAGGGGGAAACCTTCCGTTTTGGCGCTTGAAAGCATCAGAGAGAGAGAAAGAGACAGAGAGAGTGAGAGAGAGAGAGGCAAGTCCAAGCGTGGAACGAAACCACCGCCAGGAGGCCGGACGGCCGCACTCGTGTGATGGTGATGACGAGGCTCGTTGTCGAAGCCGGCGAAGCCGCCGGAGCATCATGTGTAATTCGTCTCTACAGTACCAGGGAAAACGGCAGCCCAAGCCTTTCAGTTTGACGGAAGCTTCGGCGACCCCACAGGGGCACGCGTGGTGACGTCCAACCTTTTGTGGCCTTGGCACGCGGGCTGATTTTGCGCCTTGGCAGCCCGGTGGGATCCTGTGGGCAGATGCATCTGCAAGTCAAGATTCTGCAAGTTTGGTAAAAGTTTCCCAAACGTGCGGTTTGAGCCCAGGCACCATAACTGCGAGGTGACCATTTGCACCGAGCTGCATGTCAGCACAGATCTGCCTGTTTGCTCTGGTTGCGCAACCTGCTTGTGTTCAGTGGTGACGCGCAACGTGAGGCTTACATGGAAAAGCTTCATCAAAGACTTTAGAAATGGACTGCCGCAGGAGTTCAGCATGGCCTGGAGAGAATCGAGAAGAGAGAGTTCCTCTGGCTCTTCTCCCTCAGCGGAGCCACGAGTGTTGCAGTCACCTTGCCAGATTCTGGCGAGGCTGAAAATGCCAAGGGGGGAGGGAGGGGGGCGGGAAGATGAAGGAGGAAGGTTTTCCAGGGTCGGTCAGGAAGCTGTGATGCTCACGTCGTGGCAATTGTCCCAACTGCAGCAGAGGACTGTCATGAAACCCAAGGAAGAGTCTGCCGCACGCTCCTAGTCTTGTAGTTTGGGGCAGCGCGGGTGGCGAGTTTGGCAACGACGGTTGCAACGCCTTGTGCAGGCAGACAGCATAAGTTTGCGTGAGACAGGCTTGGAGTGAGCATGCAACGAGGCACGAAGGCACTCAGGACCATGTAAGGTGCAATGCGCTTCACTGTAGTGGCCCCTGCCCCGATTCTGGGTGCGCCAAAAAATCCGTGTCGCCTAATGATCTTCTAAAGCCTCACATCAGTGTTTCGAGTGATTGTCAAGTCAGCAAATCTGCTTTCCAGTCGAGCCCTCCGAGTCGAAAACGCCTCGCCTCAAGTGAAAACCACCCCCTCCGGGGTTTAGGGTTTAGGGTTTAGGGGTTTAGGGTTTAGGGCCTCTGTGTTGTTTTCTGACTCGCTAGCCCTGCTCTCCGACTCGTGCAGCCCTCGTTTTCCGACTCAGGCCTCTCGACTTTCTGACTCGGTCCCCTGGGTTTTCTGAATTGGTCTCTACCGTTTTCGACTCGTTTTTCTGACTCGGGCGTCACCCTTCCCTCTGCACATGGCTTCATGCGGTGAGCCAGATGCTCCTGTTACTCCTGTTCATCTCTCCCACAGGATACTCTGCTGTTCCGGCCATCCGGTGGTGACACCATGGCGCAGACCCGAACTGCTGTGAGCAAGCTGATCACTTGGGAGGGCCAGCACTATGCGTGGTTCTCAGTGACGGTGTCAACCTTAGGAAGTTCTGCAGTGGGCTTTGGCCGCAGCATGCCGCAGCACCTGAGGACTTCCTTCAGTCTTTGATTTTTTCTGCCCAGGAGAGCTATGCCGCTATGCCCCTTCCCTCCGCATACGCTCGCAGAATCCAGTTTCCAGCTAAGTCTTCAGGAGAGGAACTTCTTCCCCTCCGAGGGCTGCTTTTACCATTGGGCCGCAGAAGAGAGGCAGCGCAGATGCATGTCGCATCACGGATATTTCGTCTCCTGCCCCCTTCGAAGGCCGGACTTCATCGTTTTCGGCTTCACGGTGTGCCATCTGGCTTCTTTCCGGCAGAAGGGTTAGGAGTTAGGAAAGGCATCCTGCAGCCTCCGAATCTCCGGAGGCCATGATCATCGGCGAGGCCCTGAGCATCCCTCTCGTGGGCTTCATCTGCCAACCGGACCACAAGATCGAGGAAGACGCCGCGAGAAGTGCGCGGAGGGAGAGCAGTGCACAGTCGTTTTGGAAGGAGCGGCGGGACACATCCACCGCGGTCGATCAACTCCTGGAGCCGACGCGAAAGGCAAGGACACCGCCAGTGCTCATGTTCTCATGTGTGTGTGTGTGTGTGCCCGGTGCTTTGAGGGTTTCGAAAAGTCCAAGGCCATGAACTCCGAGGGCTTCAACGCGGCCCTGATGAGCGTGATGCAGAACCTTGGACTCGTTGGTGTCTTTGCGCGTTTTTAAAGCCTCGCAAAGCGAGAGCCAAGGCAGATGTCGGTGGGGGGAGCGAGTCTGAACTGCTTGCGGCGGACACGGGGGCTGGCTCCGTGTCCAAATGTGTTAACATGCACTTCGTGCTCAAGAATCAAGACCTGATGTCCTCCAAAAACGTCTTTTGTCACTATTGTCTGTTTATTTCATGCTTGGCTGAGATCACCATCCCAGCTGGACTCACGGACAGCAGCTGGGCTCATTAAACCGCCGGGCCAGGCCGTTGGTAAAAGATTTGCAGCCCCTACTCTACAAAGGAAGTTGTTTGTTTCTTAAAGCTCTTCTTTCTTTGTCCACGCGAGTGCGTTTAGCATGCATTATGCTCTTATCTGAGCTCCGCTGCATAATCTAATGCTTGACTTATCAGGCATGGTTCACTTTGATGAGCTCCGCGAGCAAGGGGTGCCTCGGAAGACACCACATGCTGATGGCATTTGGCATCCCATCTGACCCGACATCTGCTTTCCACGCTTGTTCTGTGATTTGAGGTGCCGATGGTCGTGCCCATCAGTCCAGTCGCAGCATCTTGCTCAGGATATGACGAGGAAAGCACGATACTGCTCTTGCGTTCTCGTAACGGCAAATTCAGAGACATGCTGTGAAGGTGACCTGGCAGTTTTCATGAATGTTCAAGCAAGAATCATGAGTCTCAGGTGGGCAACTACTTGCAGCAGCTTCAGCAATACATCCTCACAGACTTCGTTTTCCTTCGATCTTCGGCAGACTCGTTGCTAGACCTTGCAGTCTCTTGCAGTTGGCGTCGTGAGGTGTTTGCCAGCCCTCATAGACATTTGTTCAAGACATACGCTGCCAATCCATCTGCCCTTGAACTCTTGTGCGCAAGGAACTAAAGGTGATGTGCTCGATGACGAGCTATCCAGCTTCGTCAAGCAAGCTAAAGATGCGGGGAGGCAGCTTATGAAGTCGAAATGCCAAGGCATGAGACTGAGGGGGACTTTGCTAAACATGACCGCTGCACAGGCGAATCCTGCTTATCACCTTCTCATCAATGCCGGTCGGAGAGAAGACGATCCTCGACCTAGCGCTGCAGGTTCGCTTCGACAGACGTGCATACATTTCCTCCGGTGTGCATGCCAGCTCTGCCATGGTCTTGGTTTACACTTAGATCCACTGC